CTAATACCTTTGGGAAAGTTGTGAATCCTCTTCTTCTCCCTCCAGCTATGGGTAAATAGCAGGACAGACTGGGTTCTATAGCCTTGGATGGCAACTGGTCTAGGAGAAGGACAACTCTGAATTCAAAACCTGCGGAGGGTCATTTGGGGACCTTGTGGTACGTAGTGCACCAGGTCTCTGTATTCGGCCCTTCAAAAAGTGTGGATGGTCCTGCACGAAACCTTCACCACTATAATCAAATCTCATGTGCTATACATGCGGATTTGGGGACCGCTTGTGAATTCCAAATTCCCATGAAACTCCAATATTGGAGCCGGCTCAACCCACCTCGGGTGAATGCCGTTACAAGAACAAGAACAATTTAAGTTACTCGAAATCGAAAAGATCCTTCAACTCTGGGTACTGTCCCGACATTAGAACCACTTTTATTTCAATACAGCCTATACAAGCTTATAGCCTACAGTAAACACACAAGTGTTGCCCCCAATGAAAGTGCCGCCCGGGGGGGGACCGCTCCCTCCGCCCCACTTTAGCTACGCCACTGCTTCTTTCTCAGCAGTAGTATGAAGTCTCAATGCGCGCTTTTCTTTAATGCATCAAGATTTAATACAAAGATATAAATATTAAAACAAAAGTCTTATAATTTCTAATCTACTACAATTTTTCCAATGAAACATGACCCAGTGCACATGTTAGTACTTTGTATGTCCATTCCACGAAGTCGTTCCTTGCAGATTGACCACAGATTCTTGATTGGATTTAAATCAGGAAAGTTATCGAGCCAGTCTATAGTGTTTTGATTTGCTCCTTGATAAGGCTTGCCAGTGGGTTCGTGCAGCGTTGCAATTTTCCTTAGAGTAACGTCCATCGCAGACAATGGCCATAGGACAACTAATCGACAGTCGAGAGAATAGTGTCTGGGCGTGATAAAAAATATTTTTCAAGGCCAACCAAATTTAATCATACACCCCAAAAATAGACTCATATTACTGCACACCACTGCAAATTACCTAATCTGAGGTAAAAATAGAAATCTATTACACCCTATCACTCCAGCGGGTCTAAAATTGACTGTATAATGAAAGAAAGGAAACTAAAGCGGTTGTTTCAATTAATCTGCGCAAGGATGTAGCCGCAACATAGATAATCTATTGAGTTAATTCGTTCTTTTTATATCGTATTTGGTTGCCTTCTGGGAAATTCCAAACGAACCATTTATCAATCCACGGGAACCAACTGTCTTCTCCTGCTGACTATTCAAGGGATACAGTGTTGATAGGAGACACAGAAAGGAAACTAAAAGAATTCCTATATAAAGTAGTAAATGAATGTGATCAAAAAGGACTATGTAACCAACAACCTCTACTCACACTCTCTCCAATCTCTCGTCTCTTCTTCCTCCTCTCAATCGCTAACTCAGCTAGCTTTCTTAAGTAATATCGAACTTACAGGCCATCCGACCATCTTTTCCCTCCTCGGTTGGAATATATATAGATGTAAAGGAATAAGCGTGTGAAAGGCGAAGAAATAAACGATCTTCAAATACAGCTCTAAAAATTTAAATAAATTTTATTATTGAATATTTGTTTTCTTTCAAATTGAAAGAAACGAACTACAAAGGTCCTTGCAAAAGAAATTCACACAAAAATATTTTCTTTCTTTACAATAAACCCGAATCGATTGCGTTAGTATAATAGAAGAAACATAATGTGGCTACATAAAGAGAGTGTCACGTATTTACGTTGTTTTATAAATGCGTGTAATTTTCTAGTCGTCAGTATCTCATCAGACGTGTTATAACTATTACAAACATATTGTTTACATAACTCCATTCGTGATTTTCAAGTGTGCTTAATTTACTTTTAAATCGCGAGGCTATTACAAGAAGTTACTCGATAAATATGTCAAATTTTGAGCGGTTACAGGTGTGAGAATTCAGCTTCTACACAACAAAGAATCCTGGTCGCAGGTTTACGGAAAAGCTGAAAACTTAATAGTAACTTAACACCACGAATATTTAAAGAAAATAAATAGGTTCGAAGAAGCTAAAAATTAACTTACTAAACTCAGAAGTGTATGGGTTAATAAATATTTTTCCCAATTTTTAAATATCTATTTAGAAGGGAAAATATTGTTTGGTTTGTTTTGTTTCACAGTCTATCAACACCTCAATGGATTATTTAATTCCGACAAGATTGTTATTGCTGGTAATATTATTTTTTTTTTTTAATATATTGCTGGTAAATTTTTTCTTCAAAAATTTCTTCCTGGTATTAAAACCTATTTTTACATAGCTGGGAACCTGACAAGTGCTACCACCCTACCAGGTCAGGATGAACCTGGGAACACCAGCAATTAAGAAGTGGTTCCATGCTGCTCAAAGCCTTCTGAGTAGAGACCTTGCTGTCGGATGTAGTTTATCGTCTTACCCAGGATGAGGGAAAATATTGTTGATCATTTTCTAGAGTGAGCTCTCAAATTTTGTAGCAGATAACAAACATGGTTTTTTGGGTTTTCATAGGCTTCAACGCGTTTGAAATAACGTCGCTGATTGGTTAATAAATGTGAATGTGGAAATTCAAATCTAGCGCTAATGTTTTGTACAAAAATGAGTTTTTTAGTAATATTACTTAAATCTATTTAACTTTTCTAGAGTTTTAACGGTTTGTTTTGGGTTATTTTGTTTTACGGCATATCAAACTCAACTAATGCCGACAACATTTTTAGGATAGATTCGTATGAATAGAATATGTATTCTTTGGTTTAGATTGGATTGGTTTATTTTGTTTTACGGCATATCAACCTCAATGGGTTATTTAATGCCGACATTTTTAGGATAGATTCGTATGAATAGAATATGTATTCTTTGGTTTAGTTTGTTTTGGTTTATTTTGTTTTACGGCATATCAACCTCAATGGGTTATTTAATGCCGACAACATTTTTAGGATAGATTCGTATGAATAGAATATGTATTCTTTGGTTTAGTTTGTTTTGGTTTATTTTGTTTTACGGCATATCAACCTCAATGGGTTATTTAATGCCGACAACATTTTTAGGATAGATTCGTATGAATAGGATATGTATTCTTTCGTTTAGATTGGATTGGTTTATTTTGTTTTACGGCATATCAACCTCAATGGGTTATTTAATGCTGACAACATTTTTAGGATAGATTCGTATGAATAGAATATGTATTCTTTGGTTTAGATTGGGTTGGTTTATTTTGTTTTACGGCTTATCAACCTCAATGGGTTATTTAATGCCGACAAAATTTTTTATTGCTGGTAATATTTTGTTTTGTTAAAAATCTGTTTCTGGTAATATTTTTCCTTCAAAGTTGTATTGCTGGTAATAGTTAATTATTTGCCCATAGCTGGGACCCTAACAGGTGCTCCCACCGCAGGTCAGGGTGGAACTGGGAACATAAGCAATTAAGAGGCGGTTCTCAAAACCTCCTGATCAGAGGCCTTGCTACTGGACGTAGTTTACCCAGGACGGACAGTTTTAACGGGCTCCCACGTATATTTGAGTCAGGTGTAAAATGAAATCACGTGTTTAAACGCCACTTATTGAAAAACGCTACGAAGTTTTGTTCTAACTCAATCCAGAGCAACCTCGGTTCTCGAAAGTCTCACGTATCGAACAAATCGGTTTTCGAACTGAAAATTCGAGATGAAAATGTCTCGGTTATCAAACAAAATTTCGGTTTTCGAACAACATTGCCGAATAGAGTTAACTCGAACGGAATCATTTCTGAGTCAACCGCCATGTTGTATACATTCGTGTGTTGACCGTGATTTTCTTTTTCAATTTTATTGTACTGTGATTTTTTTTCTCTACATTGATATTGGGAAAAATAGTTTCGGTATAGGAACATTTCAGGTTACGAATGGCCTTCAGGAACGAATTAAATTCGTGAGGTTCCACTGTAGTGTAATCACGAAAACACGCAGATATAGTCTTTAAGAAAGCTTTATCCAACTGAGAATACAAGGTTCGCGTCCTTTTATAGACTAAGTAAACAGAAATCTCTCTCTTAAAGAGGAGAGTAACAAAACTCTTGATTATTCATAACATGTAGTTTGATTCCCCAAGTTTTTTACAAGTAAAAGATATGTCGCGGAAAATCACTTCTCTATAATTATGTTTTTAAAACACTTTTAACTCCTTCCATTGTAAATTTTCCCCCAGCCACTAAAATAAATGGTAATCAAATTTAGTAGCCTTAATGTCTTCCATGATCAAATACTGTTCAATATTATTCTAGTTGTTTTTAATGCATAGCATTGACACTGACTGTTCCAAGCTTCTTATTCTCCTAATTATAATGTTGCAGTTCGTTATCAAGTGCATCATTTTGACTAATCTAAATCCACTCTAAAATATATATGGCCGTTCCTTGTCCTGTAAGAGAGCTTACGTGTCCCAGTTATCCCAAGAGCAAAGCCGTTTGGAGTTTCAACTCCTGTAAAGCCGCCCATGGTGGTAAGGTTGATGAGGAGGGAGCAAACTGAATGCGACCGACGCCCGAGAAACCCCAACAGCGGAGTAGACAAAGATGTACACGATCCCAACGAACAAGCCGGTGGAATAGGGCAGTGTCAGTCGGGCTGGAGTAACCAAGGTGGATCGTGACAAACCAAGCATCCGATAGCCCGAGGCATCCAGGTTTACCAGATCTTGCCTGTCTCAAACACCATTGAGCCGCGAGGGAGACGCTTCTGGACAAGTGCGGTGGCTTCGCCGTCGTGTAGAGATGTCCACCAAAATCAAATTCACGGGAATGGCCTCATTAAACTCACTTTGACTACACTTCAAGGATAGGCTGGGTAATCATGGCCACATCTGTCACCGCCATCATAGGGTCGAATGGGAATAAGGAAGGAAGATGACGATCCCGATGATCACATGCGAGCGGTTGCTGACTACAACCTTTCTCTTATAATTGTTTTTCTTGTTAATTCTATATCTCTGCAGGACATAGGTGTGTATGTGTGGTTATGGCCATATCATGTTGCAATACCGGTTCTCGTCCAATCACGGAAGTTAAGCATCGTTGAGCTTGATCAGTATCTAGATGAGTGACTGCTTTGTAATACCATGTAATGTACGATCGGAGGTGCGAGTGGTGTAATTGGAAACCGGAAAACCGAGTTCAAATTCCAGTTGGATTCATTATATTAACTTACGCAAATACCGATGAACAATCATGTCTCTTTTCGATTCAGGGTCGACCAATCGTATCACATACGCGTTGTGCCAGTGCGATGGGGTAATGCCCTGTTCTCCGTCAGGAATCGAACCTGTAACCTTAATGGGAACCGTCATTTGATCTGACATGCTGTTAACCAGTCAGCTACAAAGACAATCCACAGTTAACGTTTGTTTTATTATCTGTGAATTATCATGAATTCTTGAGAAAGCTAGTGGAGTGGTTTCCTGTTGTCTTCTCTTTGGTGGGCAATTCAGAATTTTCTTTCTCTTAGATTAGTTACCACATAAGACTATGGAGACCAGTCTACCTTACTATTTAATTTATAGATGTAAGGAAAAGAAAGAGATTCGTGCCTTTTCCAATGGTATTTGTTTGATTTCGTTTTTTTACGGCATATCAACCTCAATGGGTTATTTAATGTCGACAGTTTTCATTGTTGGTAATATTTTTTTTTTCAAAAAATCTATATCTGGTAATATTTTTTTCCAAAAAATGTATAGCTGGTAATATGTGGTTTTCAAACATGAATTGCTGGTAATAATTTTTTACAAAGTATTTCCGGTATTAAAATCTATTTTTACACTTTCATAGTGTTTTGACCCCAGTTTGGGCGTCGACTATTTGCCCATAGAGGGAACCCTAAAAGGTGCTACCATCCCGGGTCAGGGTGAACCTGGGAACACCAGCAATCAAGCGGTGGTTCCATGCTCCTCAAAACCTCCTGATCAGAAGCCTTGCTGTTGGACGTAGTTTATCGTCTTACCCAGGACGCGTATGTAGTTTATCGTCATACCCAGGATGGCCAAAGGTATTTTTTTAAAAACAGGATGTAACTGACTGACCCGGAATTTGAACTCGGTTCGAGAATTTCCCCTTTAGTGCCGAGGACATTGGAACTTAACATCGCTAATATTTCTTACACGAAACCAATGGGACGAGGCTTCAGATCGGTTGTAAGAAGCGAATATTTAGAAAAAAAAAAGTTTTCTTTTTCACGCCTGTTTTTGGCAGTATGTGCAATTCCACTTTGCGACCCTCCACCGCCGCCGCCGCCGCCGCCGCCGCCATCCCGACGCAGTTAGGAACCTGGTCAGACGCTTTCTCTCTCGGCTATTTCCATATTTGGAGGGGGGGTATATTCCGTTCGACGTCGCCGTTTCGCAGATATAATCAAATGTAATCAACGACTTACGTTTCACCGTCTGCAAGCCAAACACGAACTTCCGATGAGTCTAAATTTTTTTTTTTTTTTGTTTAATTGCTTGTCGCATGCCAACACCTTTCTATTACTCTCTCACACACACAAACACACACACACACACACACACATATATATATATATATATATATATATATATATATATATATATATATATATATATATATATATATATGGGGGAGAGAGAAAGAGAAAAACTACCGCGATTCGAAAAGAACCGAACAAAATTAAAAGATGTCCTTCTCCGAGACTGGTTGAAACCACGGTTTTATATATATATATATATATATATATATATATATATATATATATATATATATATATATATATATATATATATAAATAAATATAGTCTTAAGGTGTGCTATATTTATGGAATAAAGTGCTCAATATCAGAGATAGAGCGTGTGTAAATATAAAAGTGAACATAGAAGTCAACACTTAGAGGCGACAGTCTGTTTCATGCTATATGCAATCGTCAGGCCACATATGCTGTTATTTTTCTCGGCTATTTATATATATATGGGTTAGTGG